AAAAAAAAAAGGTAATTGAAAGAGCTGTCCACGTTTAAGGTCTTCATTTCCTCATTATATAACATTCCCTTAATCTATACAATCTGGATTCTATCCCTCACCATTCTTAATAAAATCACTAATAACTTCCATTTCTTAGACATTTAATATGTATCTATCCCCAGACCCTTCTTTCCCCCTAAAATTCTCCCCTCAACTTCGAACACTATTCCTACCATCTTCTCAGATAATACTTTTTTGGAGTTCTACTTCTACTACCTTTTATTATTTTTTTTAACTTCAAAAAGTTTACTGAGACAAGTTTTCACATATAAGATAGGGGCAGAGGGGATGGGGCTACCTCTTAAGTTTTTGTTTCCTCAAGATAGTCTTCACCCTCACCACTCTGTTCTTCTTGCCCTATATTCTATCCTTGTGTGATCTCATTTACTGGTGAACTCAATTACCACCTACAAGCATATCATTCTAAAATCTACTTCTAGCCTGTTCCAAGAACAATAAAACACTATTATAGTTCAGTTTGGGGGTAGAGTAAAGTGGAACGGAGGAGGGGGAAGGACATATGGCAAAGAGAGGGAAGGCACGAAGTGGGGTCTCACCCAATGTGCACATTGTGAAGGGGGTATGACACGCCCCCTGGGTGAGGGGCTCTTTTACAAATGGAACTTTGCCCTGGAAGTGAGAACAATGTAACCTAAATATTGTACCCTCATATTAATTTCAATTAAAGTTTAAAAAAAAAAAATAAAATCTACTTGTATCCCTTATCTTTCTGCCAGCTCCCAAATTGTACATCCAACTATATACCCAAACATTCCCACCCTGTCACATAGGCACTTCAAATACAACGTGAAATCACATTTTTGTTTCCCCATCCCAATTTGCTATTCCTCCAGTACTTCCTATCCAAATCAGATACCTGGGCATGTTCCTAGACTCATTCCTCTCTCCAGACCCTATGTTTAAACAGTCATTGGGCTGGGAGCAATGGCTTGTGCTTGCAATCCCAGCACTCTGGAAGTCGGAGGCAGGAGGATCACTTGAAGCCAGGAGTTGAAAACTAGCCTGGGCAACATAGCAACAAGACTTGTCTCTACAAAACGTATTTAAAAAAATTAACTAGAGGGCGGCACCTGTGGCTCAGTGCGCAGGGCACCGGCCCCATATACCGAGGGTGGCGGGTTCAAATCCCGCCTTGGCCAAAACTGCAAGAACAACAACAACAACAAAAGAATAGCTAGGCATTGTGGTGGGCACCTGTAGTCCCAGCTACTCGGGAGGCTGAGGCAAGGGAATCGCCTAAGCCAGGAGGTGGAGGTTGCTGTGAGCTGTGACGCCACAGCACTCTACCATGAACGATAAAATAAAACTCTGTCTCTACACACACACAAAAAAATTTAACTAGATGTGCTGGTGCACACCTGTAGTCCTAGCTACTTGGGAAGCTGAGCCAGGAAAATTGCTTGAGCCCAGGAGTTAAGGGTACAATGAACCATGATTATACTATGCTCTCAAGCTGAGGTGGGTGGACTGCTCCAGCTCAGGAGCTAAGAGACCAGCCTAAGCAAGCGTGAGACGCTCTCTCTACTGAAAAGAAAAAAACTAGTCAGGTATAGAGGTGGGTGCCTATAGTCTCAGCTATGTGGGAGCCTGAAGAAAGAGGATTACCTGAGCCCAAGAGTTTGAGGTTGCTATAAGTTATGACACCATGGCACTCTACTGATGGTGACAGAATGAGACTCTCAAAAAAAAAATAAAAAGCCATGGAAACAATAAACATAAGTAACTCAGAATTAATTGGAAATAATCATCTCAGACATGAAAAACAGTACACTTTGACAAACTATGTCAAAATACCTCAGCCAAGTTCAAAAGCCACAACTGTCATTTTAGTAAAATTCAAATTTCAAAGCTAAAAGCAAAAAAGAACAACTACTTGAATTTGTCTTATCTATTTCAGAAAACAATTGAGAATCAAGTGAGAATAAGGTATGCAAGTGCTTTATAAATCATAAAATCATATAAACATGAGAAACGTGAGTTATCACTAGTAATGACTTCATTGTATCTTCATCATTTAAGAATTTTGTTCCAAAAAATCCAAACTTTGTTTAAACTAATATCTCATCTTACCTATTTTCTTTTTCTGTTGTCGACCGGCTGACTCTGTTATTGTTTCCTTCTTCTTTTCCACTGTAAACAACATATTAACAGTAAAATCAACTATGTAATTTTTTTTTTTTAGAGACAAGAGTCTCACGTTATTGCCCTTGGTAGAGTGCCGTAGCATCACAGCACACAGCAACCTCCAACTCCTGGGCTTTGGCGATTCTCTTGCCTCAGCCTCCCAAGTAGCTGGGACTATAGGCGCCTGCCACAAGGCCCAGCTATTTCTTGTTGAAGTTTGGCCGAGGCCAGGTTTGAACCCAGCACCTTCGGTAATGGGGCCAGTGCCCTACCCACTGAGCCACAGGTGCCACCCTAACTATGCAATATTTTAAAGAAACAGAGAATGCTTTACTACAGATGAACCAATGAAAGAAGCTCACAAGAAAGTTATACATTGGGTAGCGCCTATGGGTCAGTGAGTAGGGCGCCGGCCCCATATACCGAGGGTGGTGGGTTCAAACCCAGCCCCAGCCAAACTGCAGCAAAAACAAAAAAGAAAGTTACACACTGCCATTGATTATGGTCCTCTTTAAGTTAATGGGCCTATTCCTACAACCACTAACAGGAAAAGGTAGATACAATATTCTAAGAATAAAACAATTCTAAGCATTATTAATAAAATGCCCATAAAGGACTATATTAAGACATAATCAGAATGAAAACTGCCAGGCACAGTACCTCATGCCTATAATCCTAGCATTCTAGGAGGGCAAGGCAGGTATATTGCTTGAGCTCAGGAGTTGAGACCAGCCTGAGCAAGACCAGAGATCCCTGTCTCTAAAAATAGCCAGCATTGTGGCAGGCACCTATAGCCCCAGCTACTCAGGAGGTTGAGGAAAGGGAATTGCTTGAGCCCAAGAGTTTGAGGTTGCTGTGACCTATGATGCCACAGCACTCTACAAGGGCAACAAAGTGAGACTATCTCACACACAGACACACACAAAAATCAAAACTGGGATGTAAGGATAATTACCTTCTTTTCAAATTCCACTCTTTCAGAAAGCTATGATTAATTGCAGTTTCATTCTCATATTTACTACAAAAATAGAAATTCATTCATTCAGTTACTAGCTGCCTAAGTGAGAGGTCTTGTTCTACGTAGATGAAAAAATGTGATCCTTGCTTTCTAAAAAATAAAAAATAATCCAGTGAAGGCTTGGCACCCCTTGCTCAGTGGTTAGGATGCCAGCCACATACACCAGGGCTAGTGGGTTCAAACCCAGCCCAGGGCCTGCTAAAACAACAGTGACAACTATAACAAAAAAATAGCTGGACATTGTGGCAGGCACCTGTAGTCTCACCTACTGGAGCAGCTGAGGCAAGAGAATCACTTAAGCCCAAGAGTTTGAGGTTGCTGTGAGCAGTGACACTAGAGCACTCTACCAAGGGCGACATAGTGAGATTGTCTCAATAAATAAA